ACAGTGGCTCCACTGCACCAGGATCTCCGGAACGGACTCCAAATGGTGGCAACAATGCCAAACAGGCGGTCCACGCAGCTGCCTGCCAGATCAAGGTGAGTGGGGAGTGTCCTTCAGCCAAAGCTCTCTTGAGCGGACAGTTTCTTGTCCGTATAGAACAGTCTTGTTTTGTGCACCTAAATTTATAGATTTGTCCTCAACTTTGTTTTTAAATTCCAAATATAACTAATGGAATATTACAGAGAGTTAGTAAACAGAAGCTAGTTAATGAGGTGTATGAGGGAAGGTCCCTCATAAGAAAGTACAACCATAAAAATGTATAATTTACTTAAGCCTACAAAAATAATCATATGTGTGACTAACAGCTATACTAGAGTTATATGCTTTTTATTGCTTTAAACGTATGCTATCTTTAAGATTGTAAACTGATAAAGATAAGCGGGAATTTCTGTTTTGAAAAATTTTAATCAAAAACTTTCAACTATATTGGCTTGTCCGCCCAAGAGAGCTGTCCGCGAAATTATCTTTTTCCATCTCCAAGAAATTGTTATATTAAATCTAAATTATTCACAGGTATTCAAGCTAAAAGGAGCTGATCGCAAGCATAAGCAGGATCGGGAGAAGATCCAGAAGCGTCCGCAATCGGAACAGGAGAAGTTCCAGCCCAGCTACGAGTGCACCATCATGAACGATATATCCCTGGATCTGGTGATGCCTGCCACCACCACTGGCTGCTACAGTCCCGAATAGTGAGTATTTTGACTCGCCAGAGAAGCATAGAGCTACATATAGAGATATTGTGGGGGAGAGCGAATCTCTCCAGCTGGCATAGCTTCTGCTCCAGAATTTAGCAACAATTTATTTCGCTGCGCAGTCCCGCAATCTTCCAATTGAGCCCGCAAATTTTTCCACAAGTCTTATTTATGTGACAGCTACGGCCCGAGCTTTTTGATTTACGAACCAACCGACTGCAGTCCCAACCATTTACATAACATCCAGTTAAGATCAAGTGCATATTACGTATCACGTAGATACTTGTTCCTTATCTGTCCGTACAGTGCGGTTCAGAGCCCTAAGGTAGGGTCTCGACCATATTAAGATGAAGTACCTTATAGATCTAGTAAATAGGTTAAGGCTAGAAGGGAGCATTACGTTTCATTTAAATTTCATTCGTTCAATTTTGCCATGCCAAGTATTTACGGATTCATACATTTATATTCATTTTTAGAATTTTGTTTTCAAGTAGTAAGGTGTTTTCAAGTAGTGTTATGTAGGAAAAAATGAGCGGCTGTAATATTTTTCTTTTTTTTTATTTAAAAGTAAAGAATAGAAGTGAATACTAAAAGATCATCATTAAAAATTTTGTAATGTTGTTCATTTTTTTTTTGGGTGCTAGTGGTACAGTCTTGCTTTGGGTCTGAACTGAAAAATCTTCGAGTACAAAGATCAAATGCATATTTATGAATTTGAAATATAAACAAAGAATCCAAGACAACACACTTTCGATTTTGTGGTATCATCAAAAATGTGTTTTGCTTAGAATCAGACAGTATAATTTCTATAAGAGATAGGCAAATAAGGACTACCTTCACCTATACAATATGATCCATTGCCCTACAATTTCGAAACGCATTTTCCAGTGGAAATTCCCCATAGTTTTCATAGGAAATCATTTAGTTTGTCATTTGCATGATCGCCAAATCATAAAGATCAATCGAATTGAGAGCGAGTATAGTAGATAGATATAAGCGGAGAGTACTTCTCTATTGGCGAGAGATCGGGAGAAACGGGAGAAACGGGAGAAAGAGATATAGTGAGAGGGTAGAGATCTCGAGAGATCAGTAGAGAGCTATTGAAGGATCATTGGGCGCTAAGAGATCAGGTAAGAGCATTTAGTGCCATGGACTTTGTTGTTTTTGCGTCTGCTCCAAGCTATTTTTAGTTTAAAGTTGCTTTTAACCGGTTTTCGGTTTTCGTTTCTGCCCAATGATTTCGTTTGTTTGCAGGCCGAGCACTATAGATAATAATGGCAAATGATATGGGGATTGTATAAGGTCTTGTTTTGTTAGGATCGATTATATCGATCAGCGTCAGAAAAGCCATCCTACAGCCGGGCATTATCCATTCAAAAAACCGGAAATGATTGTAGCGGGGTTGGGGTGGCAAAAGACGAAAGTCTGGAAAAGTTTCCCCGATAGAAAGGCAGCCATATAAAATAGTTTCGAAACGGGTTTGAATGGCCAATCAGCCGCAACAGGGCGTATCGGGTGGCTTGTAAACAAGGCGAGTGGTTCACCGAAGAGCAAACCAGATTTAGCGGGCAGCGGGGCGATGGGAAATCTGAAATGCGAATTCCGCGATGGAGGAGTCCCTCGCATTCGTGAACATGCGCTTGCATCTGAAGGATCGTCGCTCCTGCCAACGCCAGATACAGAACGAGCTCTATTGGATTTGTAGGATCTGCAGGAACCGGTTCAGGGTTGACTTTTACTAATCCTTTCTTTATGGTATCTCTTTTGCAGTATGAAACTCTGGCCAAATTCGCCCGTGCACATACCCAAGTACGATGGGATGCTTCCATTTGCGCCAAGTGCACCATCGCCGGCTACCAGCAGCAGCCCCATAGCCATCAATTCGGTGACGTCGACCAACTCGCCCACCCTCAAGCTGATGGACGCCACCAACATGGTCTCACCGCAGCATGTGCCCGCCGATATGGACGACTTTGTAGGTGTCATCGCCCCACTGCCCCCCAAAAAGCAAAAACCAAATCAAGCTAGTTAACTAACTAAACGACCCTTTATTATCCATATCAGAACCAGAACATAATGCCGGAATCGACGCCCTCGCAAGTGACGCAGTGGCTGACCAATCATCGCCTCACATCCTATCTCTCAACGTTCACACACTTCTCGGGAGCGGATATCATGCGGTATGTGATCCATTAAATAGGTTTTAAGCACGGTTCTTAATTTGTCATCTGAAATTTAATAGATAGTACTAAGTACTTCTACTACTAATTACTAAGACTTTCTTCTTTCTTTTCTTATATCATGTCCTTAAAGTTCTTCAATTTATCAGCAATTCTTCAACTAGTTTCAACTAGTGACCCCATTTTATAGCCACTCATATTAAAACTCAAATACTCACAAATATATTTTATAATCAAAAAGGTTTCCTGATAACCATTGTTTGTTATACCCACTATGATAGCAGTTACAACGCAAAAAAACACTTATATAAGTTTTGAATAGTTGGTTAACTCCCAGACAATTTGTCAACAAGAACACCTTTGTCGGGCAAACTAAGAGTACTTGAGTGTTTTTGATTACCATTCCATTTGGTCGGTCAATTTAATACAAAGTTTCAATCAGTTAACCATTATTTGGGTAATCTTGTTGACTGACATCTAAAAGATAGCCGAACGAATAGCAAGTAACTATAGGATACCATGATTCCACAACCAATTTATAACGGACCCTAAACTCTTTTGATTATTATATGACTTGATAAGATAGCTGTCCTACCGCATAAGATACTCGAATGGTTTCTAGTTATTACCCTGTGGTCTATATATGGGGATTTTATGTCTTATTTATGTATAAAACTGCTATTTTTATCTCGTTCCGCAACGCGCATATTTCATATTTGTCTGGCTGTGATTTATTTATATTCTCTGATTTATTTATAGCATGTCCAAGGAGGATTTAATTCAAATCTGCGGCCTGGCTGATGGCATTCGCATGTTCAACATTTTGCGCGCCAAGTGAGTGTTTATATTTTTGGGAATTCGATAAGCTTTTCTAAATCTATCTGTCTATCTTGCTATAGGACCATTGCTCCCCGGCTAACGTTGTATGCTAGTTTGGATGGCTGCAGCTACAATGCCATCTACTTGCTGTCGAACACGGCCAAGGAACTGCAGCAGAAGCTGTTCAAGATGCCGGGATTCTATGAGTTCATGGCCAAGGCCAGTGCCCAGGAGAATGGAGCCGGAGGAGCAGCCGCGGCTGCAGCTGCGGCCCTCTTCAACAACTGGGGAATGCACTCCAAGTACTCGGGCAGCGGATCCAACATATTCAATGACGCCAACAAGAGCTGCGTGTACATATCTGGGCCATCGGGCATCCTGGTGACCGTCACCGACGAGGTGCTGAACAACGAAATCAAGGACGGCAGCCTCTATGCCCTGGAGGTGCAGGCCGGCAAGGTGATCCTCAAGCTGATCAACAAGCAGGACAACAATTAAGCGATCTTATGGTTACGTAGATCCACTGTAGTAGACACCACCCGAGCAACCAAGTATAGTTTATAGCATTTACACGCAGTTCGATTAGTACATCGAAATCGTTTTCTATATAAGCTTCAATTTGTATGAGATTTCGCGCAGCAATTTTGAACAAGTAATGAGCCAGCAACCCGAAAACCCTGTTCCCCTTAAAAACAAAAACAAAAAAACACCCCAAATCTTCGTTAAAGAACTAGTGCAAAATATTTAAGATTTCGTTTTCAGTCCTCACTTTAAGTTTTGTTTATTTTATATGTATTTTATACCACCTACGATATACGACTACATATGCACATTTAATTCTCCGATGCGATTGCATTTCGATTCTTTCTTCTCTACTTTTAATTTCTTCTATTTCTATGGCGTATGCTTATCACATATATAACGATTATATATTTGTTTGTAGAACCCAACCAATATCAATTATTTGAAGTAGAAAGAAAAAAACCCAAAAAAAAGCAACATAAATTTACAATAATGATTATTATCTTCAAGTACAGTACCACGAATACAAGAATTGAGCAATTGTTTCGAAGCAGAGTTCAACTAGCAACCAAACAACAACTTTTGTATGTGATAGAAGCAATAAAGTGTTATCCACAAGTGGACTGTCAAAAAAAAAATGGTCTATGTGTTTTTAATATATATTTCGCACTGGTACTGGAGCCAAATGTTCGAAAGTGTGAATCGGATTTACTTTGTTTTCATGGAGTACTAAAATAAATCGATAAAATTGGTGGGGAATCCCCTAAAATTTTTTGACTCATTTAGTTCGTGTCTCAATTTGGGCTATAATTTTCAAAATTAAAAAGTTTTTAAAATTCTAAAACCGATGGATGGCTTCAATATCATCATACTATTTTACCTTTTTTTAATCTGCTCGCTGGGTGAGTTTAACAAATGTCACTGAAGATAATCTCTAAGGATTTTGTGTAAACGACAGCGTGGAAAGTGCAGGGCGATTGTCGTATAACCCAGTATATGGTGGAGCAATCGAATCGCATCTTCACCTATCGCGATGCCAGCGGATCCCTCCATCTGCAGCGTAAGGAAACTGTTCCATCTGGTGTCACTCTATGCATGTACTGTAATCCCACGGATGTGGTGGAAACCCTATGCCAGGACAATGGACAGTTTTCAGTTTCGCTCCCCATGAGATGTTACAATCCAATGAAACCGATGGCAACGCGGATTCGGGATAGCGAATGTTCGGGTAGCTTATATGCTGTGGGTTATACGATAGACGGCAAGAACCTAGAGCTATATCGCACCTGCTTTGATGCCGGTCAAGGAAGGGTCTTGTACTCCCAGAGTGATGTCTATTACAAGACCTTTTGTAAGTGCACTCCTGAAAATCATTCTTATTATATCTTTTTTATAACAAACGTTTTAAAGTTCCAAGGAGGCCCTTCGTGGAATTTGTGGCTGATGAGATGTTCAGCCCCCAGGAGGCCGCCGCTTATATGAAATCCAACATATACTTCGCTTTCAAATGCATTTACGGGGATGGCCAGTCCTACTTGCCAAATCCCCGCTCCCTGGTGATCAACCGAGGGCATCTGGTGGCTTCGGCGGACTTTCTTTTTGCGGATCAGATGGGCAGTACCTTTCGCTATCTGAATGTGGTGCCGCAATTCAAGTCGATTAACGATGGTAACTGGGAGAAAATCGAGAGATGGGTGCGAAGTCAGATTCCGGGGTCAAGCTATTTCCGGATCAAGTCCGGCGGAATTGGTATCCTGACATTGCCGGATGCCAGGGGCTTCCTTCAGTCGGCCTTCCTTGCCGGCTCCAAGATTCCAGTGCCCGAGTGGACCTACAAGGTGGTGCGGGATGCCAGTGGTAATGGGCTTTACGTCTTCCTCACCTATAATAATACCTTCCGGAGAGAGATGCCACCATGTCTAGATATTTGCCATCCACTTAATTGCCCCTTGGGTCTGCCTAATAATCCTGTTGAGGGATTCACCTTCTGTTGCGATCCCAAGCACTTTCCTCTCTAGGAAGGAAAACATTTATGCATATTTCATCAGAGGACTATGCCAAATTGTCCTGCGTAATAATCGCCGGCTGAATAATTTAGTATTTTTATTTAACAGACGCACATGAGCAGAAAATGGCGAAAGTCCTTTGCCAAGGGACATGCACTGCAAAAAAAGGGGTTTAATAAAAGCAAACTAATATTTAGACATCTGGAACATTTTTCTCTGTTTGTTATAATGAAACATATAGACAAGGTGGGCCCTATGTAAAATATGTCTCATAATATCATTGGTGAGTTGACTATTTTCCAAAAACTCTTCCTTGATTAAAGGTCACAGTTCTTTTTGTCCCCGAAAAACATTGAAAAATTTTACGATCTATCATTCCTTAAAGTTTTTTACGGATTTATTTCTTCCGAATTAAGTATTGGTTAACCACCATTTTAATAATTGAATTACCTTAACCCGATTAGACATGGCTTAGTTTAAACCACACCAGGACGATTAGCCAACAATTAGAAACCCTCTAACGACTTTTTAAATGCCTTTAGGGGAATCATATAAAAACTTGACCAAATCAATTAGCCTTAAGTTCAAAAGGAAATGAGCAACAGAGTGGAAATCTTTTACAAGGGGCAAAAGGCCCTCCTGAACGTATTCTCGCTGTGGCCCCAAAACGAACGCCATTGGAGGATCTTTCATCAGGTTAACCACGTGCATGTGATGGGATTTTGGGTGCTGCTCTTTGATCTCCTGCTCGTGATGCATGTGGTGGGCAACCTGAGCTCGATGTCCGAGGTTGTAAGGGCCATCTTTGTCCTGGCCACCAGTGCGGGACACACCACCAAGCTGCTGAGCATCAAGGCCAATAATGTGGAACTGGAGGAGCTCTTTAAGAGGTTGGACGAGGATGATTTTCGACCAAGGGGCGTTGAAGAGGAGTTGATCCTGGCAGCTGCCTGTGAAAGGAGTAGGAAGCTCAGGGATTTTTATGGCGCTCTGTCGGTGGCCGCCTTGTCCATGATCCTTATACCCCAATTTGTGGTGGACTGGTCCCAACTTCCACTGGGAACATATAATCCGTTTGCCGACCATCCTGGTTCACCCGGTTACTGGCTCCTCTATTGCTATCAATGCCTGGCCCTGACCGTCTCCTGTGTCACCAATATAGGCTTCGATTCCCTCAGCTCCTCGCTGTTCATCTTCATCAAGTGCCAGCTGGATCTTCTGGCGGTGCGACTGGATAAGATGGGCCGGTGGAACAGTGCCGGTGGCTCCGTGGAACAGCAACTGAAGCAAAACATCCGGTACCACATGGCCATTGTGGAGTTGACAGCAACTGTGGAGCGCCTTCTTTGCAAGCCAATTTCGATGCAGATCTTTTGCTCCGTTTTGGTTCTCACTGCAAATTTTTATGCTATAGCTCTGGTAAGTATCTGCAGTTGTATGATAAAGATACAGATCTTGACACTAAAAAGCTATATAGATAGAGTATTTACTATTTTACGATCTTGAGCTTTGAAATTCGAATCATTCTAACATACTAATCACAATTACTAAATGATAAAAGTCAGCTATTAACCTTATATAACCGGTATTAGTTTATGATAATTTTAAAAATTTTATCCAACTTATTAATCCTCATAGAAACATTATAACCAAAGATATAGTTATATTAAGATGATTATAATTTTGTATTTGTATAAGATATCTCGCACTGGTTGCGAAAAAAAACGGTGAGGGTTTTAAAAGATAGAATATCTGCTAATGCTGTATTATAATATATACATAATATATACGCATATATATATATACTGACTGCATTTAATGCGTTGCATTTATTAGGTCCTATAAATATAATTCATATTAAGACAATAACAATTTCAAAAAACACAAACGGAAATTTCCATATACATACGTTTAGTTGTCCGACGAGAAGCTGGCGCTATTCAAATATATTACCTATCAGGCGTGCATGCTGAGTCAGATTTTTATATTGTGCTACTATGCCGGGTGGGTATAACTGCATTCCAAATCTATTTCAGATTAGTAATCTCTTTCCCCCCTCGACAGAGAGGTAACCCAACGCAGTTTGGACCTGCCCCATGAGCTCTACAAAACATCTTGGGTGAACTGGAACAAGGATTCCCGTAGGATTGTGCTGCTTTTCATGCAACGTCTTCATTCGACTCTGAGAATAAGGACCTTAAATCCCAGCCTGGGTTTCGATCTAATGCTTTTTAGCTCGGTGGGTTACTTTCGTAGTTCTACCATTTTGTGCACTGTAGCCAATTTCCATAATGAGCCTCATTAGTCGCTTGGGTTTGTGGCCTATAAAAGGCTTTCCTCGAGGGGTTTAGCAGGAAAAGTGAAAATCGTCAGCATGTCTCAGCATCAAATGGTAACGGATGACTTCTACAAGTACCAGGTGTGGTACTTCCAAGTTCTGGGAATTTGGCAGCTGCCTATTTCTGCCACAGATCACCAGCGTCGTTTTCAGTCGATGAGATTTATCCTTATCCTGATTATCCTGTGCATAATGCTACTACTCTTTGCATTGGAACTGCTGAGTAATATCTCCCAAGTGCGGGAGATCCTAAAAGTATTCTTCATGTTCGCCACCGAAATATCCTGCATGACCAAACTTTTGCATTTGAGGTTGGAGAGCCGTAAGCTCGATGGCCTGGTTGAGATGATGATGTCCGAGGATTTCACCGTAAAAAGTGAGGAGGAAAGGTTGATTTTGGAATCGGCTAGAAAGGCGGTTGTTCATATGAGGAACTTCTATGGCATCACGTCCTGGGGAGCGGCTTTGCTGATCCTCCTGATTCCCTGTTATGCCAACTACGAGGAGCTCCCGCTGGCCATGCTCGAGGTGTGCAGTATTCAGGGAAGGCTCTGCTATGGCTTGCAGTACCTCTTCCATACGATTTCCCTGCTGCCGACTTGTGTCCTGAATATAACCTACGATTCGGTGGCCTTTTCCTTGCTCTGCTTCTTGAAGGTTCAGCTCCAAGTGCTGGTCCTAAGACTGGAAAAGTTGGGACCGGCAAATTGTTACCCAGATAATGAGAGGATAGGCAGGGAACTGCGTGAATGTGCCGCCTATTACAACAAAATTGTGCAGTTCAAGAATCTGGTGGAGTTATTCATTAAGGTTCCGGGATCCGTGCAGCTCATGTGCTCTGTGCTGGTACTGGTTTCCAATCTGTATGACATGTCCACCATGTCCGTTGCCAATGGGGATGCCATCTTTATGGCCAGGACCTGCATCTACCAACTGGTTATGCTCTGGCAGATCTTCATCATTTGCTACGCCTCCAACGATGTGACTGTTCAGAGCTCCAGGCTTTGTCACGGCATCTACAGCGCCCAGTGGACGGGATGGAACAGGTCGAATCGCCGGATTCTTCTGCTCATGATGCAGCGCTTCAATTCACCGATGGTCCTGCGCACCTTTAATCCCACCTTTGTTTTCAGCTTGGAAGCCTTTGGTTCTGTAGGGCAGCTGAAAGGTTCTTCTTTATTGGTATAACTAATAAAATTTCTTTTCTTCCAGATTGTAAACTGCTCTTACAGCTATTTCGCATTGCTAAAGCGGGTCAACAGTTAGATTACCAAAAACCGGAATGTTCTAAATTTTGGACGAAAATATCTACGCATAATGAGGACCATTCAGTGGATGGACATTCGTTCAAGATCTGGAGAACAGGATTAGATGAAATACTCATTTCTTAACATGAGACCTTAAAAAGTAGAAATCAAAGAAATTTAATAGTTAAGCACTTTTTAGTAGAAGTAGCTGATTGCAATTGTGTTTTTCTCGAAAGTATTTATAAAAACTTTTAAAACATAAAATAATTTTTTATTAATGTTGTAAACTTGGTACATTTAAAAGCTTTTAGAATGTTTTTTTCCTTGGCACAAGAAACAATTCTAACGGTTTTATTTTAAAAATTGGCGCCATACGGTCACACTGAAAAATACCAGATTGGCAGCGGGAAGAAAACGGTACATAAGTTAAAACGACCTATAAATGCCCTAACGCCTTTAATCTGCTGACGGACAAAGATTAAGATGTCGGAAAACGCGAAAAACAATAGCTGCCTGCATTGCAGCGTATTCAGTACGAAATACCAGTACCAGGAGATATTCGATGAGTTCGGAATCGAGCTGGGACTTCAATCCCTGCTGGCCAAGCACTTCCAGTTCGATGTGTTCCCCGATCCGCAGAAACAGCAGCTTCTGTGCGAGGTGTGCGTCAACAATCTCATCCGCCTGTTTGATATTGATGAACTGGAGAGGGAAAGGGATGCGGCCAAGGAGGTGGGTCAGGACCAGGTCCATGTTCAAGTTCAGGATGAGGCCCCCACGCAGGAGGAACCAATTGTCATCACCGAGGTCCAGTCATCTCCGCCAGCTGCAAGACCCGCCAAGAAAGAAGCGCCTCCAAAGCCTCTGGCCAAGGTCCTGCGTCCTGTGCCCATTATTCCCCCTAGGGCACCAAGTGCCCGGCTAAGGAAATCAGTAGTTCCTGCTCCCCAGATAACATCTAAACCAGCTAGATCTCCTGCGATAGCCAAGGAGCCTTCGCCGGAACTTCCTCCTCCTAAAAGTGAAGCCAAGCTGGCAGATCAGGAGCAAATAAGTGTCCTGATGCAAAACATCCTGGACGAAGACGAAGCTATTGCTAACGACGAGTCCATTGTTGAAGAGGTGACCTGTGAAGATCCCCAGTTCCCCGAGCAAACGGAAACCGCTGAACAAATGGTTCTTCTGAACAGTGAATCTGTTGCAGATCCTAATCTGGATGAGGATGTATACATATACGAGCAAGAGGGTTTGTTTATTATAATTTCTCCTTTCATAAAACATAAACTGCAACTTTAAATCCCCATAATTAGACATTTTAGATCCAAACTTGGAGGACGTGAAGGTCAAACCAATTGTTCGTCCATCAAGATTGATAGCTGAAGCAGAGGAAAGTCAAAGTGAAGGAGAACTCGATGAGGGGGAGCCCAGCAACATAGTACTGTTTAATTTTGTTGATATCAAAGATAGTAGGTATAAGATCTGCAAAAAGAATTACAAACCTTAACCCTTTAAAATCTTCTTGTTTGCAGAGGATGACATTCATGATATTCCGGAATATCTGTCCACCGTGGTGAAGACCAGCTTTGAGAAGCTTACATTTGAGTGGTGTACTGTGTGCAAGCACTGCTCCCTGAAGTGTCCCACATTTGAAAACCTTTTCAGTCACATTTTGAAGACCCACAAAACCCGTAGAGATATCTTTCAGTGTCCGATTGAAGGCTGCAACAAGGAGCTAAAAGGACGGCAGTTCCTAGCCATGCATTTGGTTCTTTTGCACGCACCTGTGGCTGAGTAACTATATTAAAACTGTCAGATATATCATATATCTAACTAGAGTTTTTTTTCTTAGAATTCCAATTTATGGAAGCTGTCCGGAATGTAAAATGACATTTTCAAACATTTTGCAGTACAACAAACATTCTTGTGCTCATGTTATCAAAAAGAAGAGAGGTATTCGCTCGTTTTGTGAAATGTGCTCCCTGGAGTTTCCATCCTGGAAGCGGTAATTCGACTTATCCATCTTTACAACGTAAATTCGATTATATTTTTAAAATTCCAATTACAGTTTCAATTTCCACAACCAATTCCATTTGGAGAAGCATAGACCTCGTGCTTGCTTCGTTTGCGATTTTGCCAGCACCAACATCGATGAGCTTTTCCAGCACTTGAACTACGCCCATGAGCCAGTGGGCACCTTGTTTTGTGACCTGTCAGTGGCTTAAATTATTTCTTGTCTACCCCATCTGAAGCTGTTTTTTCTTCTAGTTGCGACCGCACTTTCCGGGATCCCGCAGTTTTCATGGAGCACAACAAGTCGCATGCCAATGTGAGCAGCACAACATACTCTTGCGGGGAATGTATGGCGAACTTTGAGTCCCGAGGTCGTTTAAATGGACACATGGTAGTGTATTTATTACTTTAATTTGTACTTTAAGTTACTCTATTATATTTTGTTGAAATGTATTTTATTACTTATCTCATTTATATTTATTTCAGAGAGCAATGCATGGCAGCGTTATAAGCTGCGAACTCTGCTCCCGCGAATTTGCCACCGAAGCCACCTACAACATACACATGAAGAAGCATCTGATCATCGAACGTGATGTTCATGTGTGCGGAAATTGTGGTTTTTTAAGCGACAGCCGCGATACCCTACTTGCCCATGTGGATTCCGAAAAGTCTCCCTGTTTTGGTACCAAGAGATATGTGGAAATTCTTCGGGATGCTTACATCTGCGAGTACTGCTCCTCGTACTTTAAAACCAAGGAAAATCTTCAAGCCCATCGGGACTCGGGAGTTCATAAGGACGGATTGTACTGGTGCCAGCCCTGCGGCAAGGACTTTCCGCACATGAAACTGTACCGCCATCACCTGCGCAACTATCAACAGCTCCGCTCGGACTCGACGCATCGCAAGCTTGAGATTTGTGTGTACTACATGTGCGATCAGGAGGTAAGACGTCTAGCACTTGGTCATCAAAAATGGAAAACTAACTAAAGTTTCGATTACAGAACTGCTCAGAGGCTTATGTAAACTGGAACTCCTTGTACACACACAAGCGACGCACCCACGAATCTTCGAAAAAGCAGGCGGAGAAGAATTCTAAGACTGCCCCAGAATGGATTTGCCAGTTTTGTCTCAAGGAATGCCGCTCGAAGATGTCCTTGTCCGTGCATGTGGCAAGGAGCCACAATAATGGTGAGTGTGGAATTCTTTAAAATGTACCTACTTTTTAATTAATCGTTGTACATTTTAGACAACGTGGTTTGTCCTTTGTGCAAGGCTTCATACAAAAGCCAGGAGGCTCTGGCCAAACATCATGCCTATTGGCATGAACCCATTGAGTGCCCGGAATGCTTTAAAATCGTCAAAAATCGAAGGAATTATGACACTCATGTTAATGTAGTGCATTCGAATAAGAAGCGCTATTCCTGCAGTGTCTGTCAGAAGGGTTTTTATCACAAGAGTGAAATGGAGGCTCATCAGAAGGTGAATATAAAATAGCCTATTTATAAACGTTAATAATAGTATCCAACCTTTCCTGCAGCTTCATGGACAGTCTTACAGCTGCGATCAGTGCAGTTTCACCACTAGGAACAAGAAGTCGCTTTCTGTTCACATCCTTGGTCAGCACTACAAGCGTTTTGCCTTTGAATGCAAGGAATGCAAGAAGAGGTTTGGCCGTCGGCAGGGCTTGAATACTCACATGCAGCGATCTCATGGCTCCAAGTTACTGTGCCGTGATTACTTCGAGGATGGATGTGGACGCACCTTTGTGAACAGTTCTCAGTTGAACGTTCATGTTCGAAAGGTGCACAAGGGAATCATTTTACTCCAAGAGGATGTGGTCGAAGAGGATGAATACGACGATATGCCATCGACATCCAAAAAGCGTTGCATTCGAATTAACGATGACAATGTTGAATTTATAGAAGAGGTCGGAGATGAACAGGATGGCATAGAGATGGAGGAGGGTGACGAGGAGGAAGACGAGTTCATCGACGAGATACCAGAAGAAGACACCAAGAATTGAGGCTGACAAATATCGGTGATGTAAGACTTTTTGCTAAAGCAGATTTATTTGATTTGGTTTTCATTTGTTTGCTACCAATTAATTGAACACAAATGATGTCCGAAAATGACATTAATATGTTTTCCATAGTACATAATACATAAGTCTAATGATAATGTAATAACTACATTTAGGCTAACTTTAATTGCAATTAACTAGCCAGAGTCTGGCGGAAGCAAATTTGATTTATTAAGCGTTGTAGTTTGGTCATTTAATTGCTGAAGATTGTGTGCGGAGCTTACCTGAAAGGAATTATAAGTTTTAAGAAACGATTACAAAACAAATTAGGGAGATTTTCCAAAACTTACTGGGCTAATTGGTGTTATAACAATGGCGGTGCGCGTGGCACACTGCAGCAGGGCTGTGTCCTCGGTGGACTCATCACAGTCGCCATCGGCATCCGCGTCCACGTCCACTTCCACCCCAATATCACTGTCGATCTCCCAGGAGGGGAAATGATCCATTTCGCCCTCACAGTTCAGATCCTCCTCCTCGAAGTCCTCGTACTCATCGATTAGTATAACTAAATGGGAAATTTGTAAAGTTTATTCAAGCCCTCATCTTTTTGTTGAACAAAGAGTTGTTGTAAAACAGAAAAATTTAAGTGAACTAATAAAAAAAAAACAACTATAATGATCGATTTAATTTTTATTTTTTGTCATAAAAAAGGAATACGAGATTTTTTAGATAATATAAAACCAAATTTCTAAAGAATAACCAAATTAAATCCTTTTACGTATTTATTTATATTTTTTGTTTTGTGTGGCAAGCAACTTGCTAATTTTGCTAGTAATCTAAATAAAATAATAAAGATCTGGGAAAACAATAGTTAACTAATTTTTAATTACTTGAACTATCTGGCGGCGTTGGCTTAGCACTGCTGTCCAGGGATTCTGCTCCCTCATCGGGTATGTTGATCCGCTGCTCCTGCTTGCTATACGGCTCCGATGTG